TCTGGGTGAAGAAAGGCCCTCCAACCTCCAAGTCGGTATTCCAAGCCGCTGATCTAGGGCATTTTCCAAGAGTGGGCGGCTTCCACAGGGAACGTGGAGCCTCCCATAATGGAAGGGTAATCCTGCAGCAGTTGAAGAATGTGAAAAAATAGAAGAAATGAACTTTTAATTTTGCAAAGTTAGCGATTCAGATGTGGGCGGAGCTTCATGTGACTGCGCGTCTATGAACACCTTCCTTAGGTGAAGAGTGGATGTGAAATTAACGAGACTGAAAAAGTTCTGAAAATCTGAAATCCAAAACGAATTCCTCAAACATTGGGCGAAGTCACTCATGTGTCGATCTACACTCCGTTCTATTACTGTGTATATGCGAAAGAAAAGTGCAACTAGTCACATAAGCTGAAATTATGGAAGAATTTTAAACGTCTTGTCCATGCTGAAATGGGCGTGGCTGTTGGGGCGGAGCCTGCAGTATTCCAGAGTGTGCTGTGTGTTTAACGCTGTATTGAATTTCATTTGGAACGTGGTTGATTTGGTCTCGAAAGTTGTGAATTTAAAATGAAAGGGGTATATATTTTAATTAATGGTGAAAGTGGTGCCAATGCACCACTTCAGTAATTTGTGAGACTATGCGAAGCGGCTCCGCAGTTTAAGAGGGCTAAGAGTGCAAATGGGCGGAGGTGATGAGGTGGCGAGTATAGTGCTCACCACGCCAAATTTCTGATTGGGTCCCGCTTAAGTTTTCAAGCCTCATGTCACGGTGACAGCAAAACAGTAAAAGATCAGACTGGTGTGTGAGAACACTGACTTGCACATCGGCTGGCCTCCGTAAGTCATTGTATAGACTTTGTTGCATTCAAAATGCCACTACGATTCAGAATGGAAGTAGATTAGGTGTCGTATTCCGAGAAGACTGGTCAACGGCATAAGCTCTACGCTTTTTGTCCATTTCAAATAAAAGTACTTGCACTTTCGTAGCGCACTTAGAACTTTGACTCTTTTTTTCTTTACCTTTCTTCTCATCGTCACTTATGATACCGACGTAATCTTCGACGAGTACAATATGCACCACAAAGATAGAAATGATGTTGATGAGAAACCTGAAAAAAAGCTGTTATCCGATTTCAATATGTGCACTGAATCATAAGAAGTGTGAAAGGCATGGTCCGCGATCAGGTGTAGAATTTGAAAATATGGCGTCGGGAGGTAGTGTGGTCCGCGACGAACAACCTTGTACCGGTTTCGCGGCAAAAAAATTGTAAGGGAGGGGCGCTATAGCGCAATATAGGTTCAGTGACGCCTCCTTTTTCCAGTGACTCCGCCTCCAGACTCCGCCTTCAAGGCCCGCCTTTCAGTGAAAAACGAAGCTGCAGGACGAAAAAGCATGAAAATCGTCACTTGTACGGTCGTAGAGTTCTTATCGGGAATCAGCTGTGCGGATGAGGGCGTAGTGTTAGAGATGGAGTTATTTTCTTCACTATCGAGTTATTCAGGGTGAGGAGGGTGGATGAGCCAGCCTCCGGCTGCTTTGCTTGGCCAATGGCAATTGAGTAGTGATCGATGTAGGAAGAACAATCAATGAAAGCGCCGTAGATGGGGACCGTGATTGCGACCGGACTGTTTGCAATGATATCAACTGCATGTGACTTCATACACCTCCTTTCCCACATCCCCCTCCCACCACCCAATTAAAGCATGAACTGGTTGAAAAATTGCAAAAAGATGAAATGCTTACATGAAAAACGCAGCGGAGGTGTACATGTTGAAAAGCAACGGTCCCACAAAGAATCCAGCATTCCCAAGTGGAATGAAAAGTATCTGCAACGGAGCCATAGCACTAAATTGAACTCTACACAAAAAACATTTGCAAATACCTGGATAGCAGGTCCAATAGAGAGACCTGTTGTAAGACCTGCTGTTCCCATGGATATTGCACGTATTCGACTTGATCGAGTACTAGCAGTGGCGACGAAACTACGTAGCACTCCAAGAGTACCTTCATTTACAGCCAAATGAACAGGTTTTCATAACACTATGCGGAAAAATTGGAACACGTTTCCCAGCTGCCAACCATGAAGGGGCATGTAACCAACAGGAACGTGAGAGGATAACAACAACATTACAGTCACTATTAGTTTAAGCTGTCATTAGACTCAATAACTGCCTCCGCTGCAGCCACTCTTCGCAGCACTAATTCAACAAGAACTCCGAGGAAGAGCCGTTTCCGTTTTTCACATTTCATCTTCTGATGGGAACTTCTCATAACTAGATCGTCCTCTCTGTGCAATGTTGCTCAACCGTGGTGACGAACTTCTTCCTTGCTTATTAGCGCCTCAAGCTATATCAGGAGGTTAAGGTGGGATTGGGAGCAGACTTCGAATGGCTAACTTCATCACGTGGATAATGACCTTCAGGTACCGGACCAAGTTCTCCACGTACTTTGCAATCCTGCTTAGCGTCTTCTTTTTGTGCTTCGGGATAGTTTTTTCCTGGTGCTTTTCATATCTGACTTAATGTATTGTCAAAAAGATGAGAATCGGATAGAGGTTCAAGGGGCATTTCTATTTTTCCTACCCAAGGTTTTTATCTTATACTATGTGTAGGGAATCTAGATTACTTAAGAGCCATACAGAAAAGTTCTCGGTCAAAGTGTGTCAAGTGAATTTCAGAGCTAGAACCCTTGCAATCATTGGCTCCATGGCCCATATTTACTGACTTCATATAATAATTAAATTGTCGCGGTAAAACACTTTATTCCTCCTTTCCCTTACTGATGAGCACAAAAGGAAGATTTCACATACTGCTTAGTTTCCGTCTGAAGGGCACGAGTGAAACGGAAACTAAGGAAACTGAGCTACCTCTTTGAGCCACCCACCTCTGAAACTTGGAGAAAAAAATGTATTAAGGAGTATTGCCATTGAGATTCCGAGGGACTTCCAGCTACTGTGTCACCTCCGGTTAGTGACGGGCATATGCAACAGAGGATTTCCGCCTGATCCTTGCACCCACCGGATCACCCAGTTGATGGCCATACGAAGTACTGGAATACAATTGCAAAGGTAGCACTACACTTCAGTGATTCGGAAAGTCTCGCGATTACTCTTACAGCGCGTTCAAAATTTTCCTCTGATAAAGGGCAATTGATATAGGACACGATAGATGACGTTTTAGCAGAGAAAGCCGATCTTGAGTAATGTAGCACGAACCTGCGCCGAATCCTGTAAAGAAGCGAGCGATCAACATCACCCATTTGATATTTGAGGGCAACGTCGGAAGCAGGGCGTACAAGAGATTCCCTGAATTGCTCTAGTTTAACTCACACTATTACACTATCACTCTTTCGCAGCTCTAATACAAGTGTGTTCGAGTTTTATTTTTATTTATTCAACTCTACACAATTAATTCGACATATTTTGGCTTTCTCTGGTGAACAGCGAATGAAATTGCCCAATTTTGCGATCCTTCTCAGGTTGAGCAAGAAGTCGAATCACATGTTGGTCCTCGATTCACACGATTTTCCACTCCCCTATACACCATAAAAGCAAGAGGGCGTTAACAACAATTACGGTCTGTAAACATAATTTCTGTTGAAACCTGAAAAAGTCAGTAAAAGAATGTGAAAACGCTTACAGGAAAAGCTTTTTAAGATCCTTGGAGAAGAAAAAGAAAGTTTAAAAAGTTTTTTTGAGAAGAAGAAGCTTCGAAAATCGCCTCCCGTCTATCACAGTTGCATTCCCTTAAAGACACGGTCCGCGAGCGGAGGTGTTGGCGGGGAAACGTGGACAGGAAGCCGGCTGACTCGTCCATGAGGAGAAAATACCAAAGGGAATGGCGAAAACACCTTTTATATGACCCCTTATGCCTCAAACAATTGCACAAGTGAAATGCCAAAAAACCGCTTGCTGGGGCGACTTCAGTTTGCCGACTCCTTGTAATGAACCCTATGACCCCACAAGAGACAATGTAGCATCCATTTCGTGCTACTTGTCCGGTAGCATCGCTTTTGGCTGGAAGGCAGGCTTTGGAGGCGGAGTCACTGGAAAAAGGAGGTACCACTGGAGCAATTCTTGCAGCATAATTTCTACACCACTCACTTTCTACACCACCACTTTCTACACAACTTTCTGCCGTAAACTCACACAGGACAATATGGCACAGGGTTGTCCCATAACGCCCTCTGTATTTGCACAGGTCATCGCGGGTGCCTCCTTTAACTTTTTGCCACTTCATGGTAATGTATTGCATGCCTAGAAGACTTCAATTTACACAGGAAATCCTTGGAATGTGGTAGGCGTGGTGCGTGCGAATGTGGTACTTCAACTGAACGTAGCCGTGACTGTGCTTTTCTTGAGATATATTCATTTTGACACAATGGTGATCATGCCTCACACTGGACAAGATGACAGTTGCCTCAAACTAAAAGATACCGTGTTTATATGCACGGTGCACCCATTTTCATATTCTAGAGGAATAGTGCAGTGTAGTATGTACAGAGAGGGCAAAAAGAGTTCACTTCGACCGAGTTCACATATCAGCCAAAGTTTTCCGGCTGGCCCAGGGGCAGAGGACGTGATACGCTGGAGTACCAGGGCGGAAGGGTTGAGGTGAAGATATTCCTCATAGAGGCAGGGGCTGGCTTCTGCTCGCCCACCAACTTCATGTACACCAAAATATGAAGTCATCTCCAGTCGTAGCCTGACTGGAGAAGACCTTTGGAATTCATGTCACCTCCAAACAGCTGCGAAACTTCTAGTGTGGAAGGGGGCAGAGTCGGGAGCCAATGGATATCGTAGCGTGGAGGCGACCAGCTATACTCTTTGCACCTGGCAATGAGCGACCCACAGTCGACCAGCTACAGGCAAACGTCGCTAGCGGTCGGACGGACGTCAGTATGTCAGCCTATTTGCGCGAGCGCGCGGAGGGGTGGATCGGTCATGGACCGGGGGTACGCTGGAAAGAGAAGCGATATGGCGTTCTTGTGTAGTACCGACGCGTGCAAGGTTGAGCGCTGGCGGGTGTACATCAGTAACTCGGAGAAGGATTACTACTTGGCTATCATGTGGGTCGCCCGAGCTGTTTTCTTGAACACTTGTGTAGCTGCTGCGGAAGATGTGGGGTACTACCACCAGCATGCGGAACCGAAGCATTGGAGGATGACTTCGCCTACTGGTGGGAACGGACGGAGCTGGGCGGGGGGGCGGTATGCCGTAGAGAAGGAGTGGTGAATTATCACAGGTATGTTAGCTCTAGACCTGAAGCTCGCTTCAACTGACCGGTTCGCCGGAGGGTTCATATAGGTGACGCTGGACTAGTGCGGAAGAAAATCGACTTATCTCGCTAATTTCTCAGCACCACATCGCCGGTAGCGTGGCAGGAATCTCTCAATGGGGCGCGTGCGTGCTCAGGAAGTGCTATGGCGGGGGGGGAGTGGTCATGATAGTACCTGATATGCTCTTCAATAGGATGGTGAAAATGTCCGATCAGAATTGAATAAAGTGTAACTATAGCGCCTCGGAAGTCAATAAAGAAAAGTCAAAGTCATCAGTCAATAAAGACTTTTTTTGCCCCCCCCCTGTATGTGTGCGCGCAAAATAACCAGAATGTAAAAGTGCTAAGGTATTAGGTTCTAGCAATCGTTTACCAACACTATACTATTGATGAGCACTATTATACAGGGCCGGGGTTGTTCTCTAAGACGAACGACAATAACAATGCCTTAAATTCAGATAGGGGCAGTCGGCCAGTCTTGGGGGCTGAGGAAGTCACGTTGGATTTGTCACGTTCTGTGTTACGTTCTACGTTTAGGTCGTGCTGGATCCTGCTGAAACATGAGCTTCCCAGAACCGAAAATAGATTTTGCTTGGTGGAATCAAGACGTTTCTCAGCATATTTTCTAAATACTCTTCTGTCTTGATCTTGGTGCATTCTACGATAAAAACCTCTACAGACTTGGCACCGCAGGTAATTGCCGACCTAACCACAAAATCACTATCTCAAGATGCCCAACATTAAGCGGTTCCTCTCTTCTCATTGGCTCCTTCACATGGAGCACAGTACACACGGCTTTTTGAAACTAAAAACAAGGGAAGGATGGTAGGTCGAAGTGGCCATTTGAAATGAAATGTATACCGGCTGAAAGGTCTTCGGACGGGAATTACGAAACCGTCTTCCATATCTGCTGCGGACCTCCCAGAAAGAAGTTACGGAGCTTTTTTGGGAGCACTACAAATTGGCGGCGTAAGGCTAATGAGATCGTGGCAGCATGGTCGAGTGGATACGTCGTAGGGCTCACGGATGCGTGGTCGAGGGTTTGGATCCTTGATGCGTGTGCTCTTTTGCATTTTTCGAAAGTGGTCCCTGTGCACTTCAAAGCTATTTTGCATAACTCTTGTCCCTGATAATGTCGTGACGTAATGTTTCTGAACTGATGGAGCCATTGCGAACGATTTCATGGAGATCACTTCTGGCTGAAGAGATTGTCATACGAGCTTCCAGCAGGTGCGAAACCACTTTGGGATAGACATCATTCAACACTATGTGAGTGATGAATGAAGGTTTTGCCCATCGCGATCTCCAGCATGATTGCCACATCAACGCCACTTCATATGAAAGCATTTTCCCCACTATACTCATCTTCGCGCACAACTTCGTGCGGCTTCGGATTCGGTTTCCAGTCATAATTTGGAGAATAAAGTCATTTTCAAGGCAAAATCATTCGTTGGAATGCACTTTTGTTGTGTATGCTTTTCAAATCAAAGAAAGAAGAAGTCAAAGCCAGAAAATGTTCTCCATGGAATCGTTCGCAATGGCTCCATCAGTTCAGAAACATTACGTCACGACATTATCAGGCACAAGAGTTATGCAAAATAGCTTTGAAGTGCACAGGGACCACTTTCGAAAAAATGCAAAAGAGCACACGCATCAAGGATCCAAACCCTCGACCACGCATTCGTGAGCCCTACGACGTATCCACTCGACCATGCTGCCACGACCACATCAGCCTTACGCTGCCAATTTGTACTGCTGCCAATATTCTCCCTTTAAAAGCTCTGTAACTTCTTTCTAGGAGGTCTGCAGCAAATATGGGGGACGGTTTTGAAATCTTCGTCCAGAGACCTTTCAGCCGGTATACATTTCATTTCAAATGGTCACTTCGACGTACCATCCTTCCCTTTCAGAAGAAAACCTGACTGTGTAAGCATGCAGTGTACAATGGCATCAGTGTGCAATGGTTGGTAAGCTGTTTTCAAAAAAAACCAGCTGTCATTATGTTACACTACAGTTACAATGGTGGATCCACACGAAGTCCATGTCCGTCCAGCACAAAGACGATGACAGTTTTCTCATAGAAACATCACAAAAAGATGAGAGAAAGATCTCTCGCAGATGAGAGAGAAACCGGGTATTAGTTGAGCATTCAAACATACGCAAGCAGGTGGGCGCGACGAAGTAAGCAAAACCGGCAAAGCCTGGCCCTATTAGAAAAGGGTCGCGCCGGCGTCAGCCAGCGAACCGACTGGTATCAAATGTACGTGTGACAACAGATGTTCAAGAGTGTGGCGGCCTATGCACTAAAACGCAGTGAAAGTAGGGGCCCCGTGCTTGAGAACACGCTCCACCCCTGTGGGCGGGTCTCAACCATGCTGAACTCTCGCCATATGTTTCTCTTCACCAAAAGTTTTTTCCTGATATCCAAGCTCACTCAACAGAAGCAAGAGCCTGCCCATCTCGAAAGCACCGTGCCCATTTTTGAGATGTCTCCTCCACGTCGTCCGCTGACCCCTTGTGGATCTCAATCCACCTGTCCCCGGTGCCTATGCTGCTCTGCAACTAATTCGTGAATTTTTGACCTTCGCCCGCCCACAACATCGACACAGCTCCGCACAGAATGGGCGCGTAAATCTCGCTTCAATAGCGGAGCTCCTGCACATTTTTGCTCGTCTTTGCCGGTGCCTGGAGTCTGTTATGGAACCATTCTATACTTCTGCATTTGGCTCCGCCGCCTAGCCGCACGCTCCGCCTACAACGGCTGTGTGCCGCATCAAACAGTGATCCCTCCTGACCATCCACTTCCGTGTTTTACAGAACTTTTGTCTGTCTCCGCCCACCTCGGGCTGGCACCGCCCACAACATGTGCCCCACATTTCTTACCGGCGACCTTTGCTGACCTTGATCTACTTTTTCCCGTCTCTTGAGTGCTCTGGAACCGTTTTACAGAACTTTTGTCTGTCTCCGACCACCTC